AAGGTGTAGTAGTAGCAGTAGTAGTATTAGTCGCTATCTCGCCGCAGTAGCATCAGTAGTAGTGGTGGTAGTGGTAGTCGTAGTAGTAGTAGTAGTAGTAGTAGTAGTAGTGGTAGTAGTAGTAGTAGTAGTAGGAGTAGTAGTAGTAGTAGTAGTAGTCGTAGTAGTAGTAGTAGTCGTCGTCGTAGTAATAGTAGTAGTAGTAGTGGTGGTGGTTGTAAGAGTAGTCGTGATAATAGAAGTCGTTGTAGCTGTAGTAGTAGTAGTAGTAGTAGTAGTAGTGCAGTCGTAGTAGTAGTAGTAGTAGTAGTAGTAGTAGTAGTAGTAGTCGTAGTAGTAGTAGTAGTCGTAGTAGTAGTCGTAGTAGTAGTAGTAGTAGTAGTAGTAGTAGTAATAGTAGTAGTAGTCGTAGTGGTAGTAGTAGTAGTAGTAGTAGTCGGAGTAGTAGTAGTAGTCGTAGTAGTCGTAGCAGTAGGAGTCGTTGTAGTCGTAGTATTGGCAGCACTAGTGGTAGTAGTAGTAGTAGTAGTCGTCGTCGCCGTCGTCGTGGTATTAGTAGTTGTCGCGGCATTAGTAGTAGCAACAGTCGTAGTAGTAGTGGTAGTAGTCGTTGTCGTCGTCGTCGTTGCCTTCGGCGCCGGGGGCAGCGTCGTAGTAGTAGTATAACAAGCTGGAATCATAGTAGTAGTCGCCGTGGTAGTAGTAGTGCTTATCGTAGTCGTAGTTGTAGTAGTAGTAGTAGTAGTCGTAGTAGTAGTAGTAGTAGTAGTAGTCGTAGTAGTAGTAGTCGTAGTCGTAGTAGTAGTCGTAGTAGTAGTAGTAGTAGTGTAGTAGTAGAAGTAGTAGTAGTAGTAGTAGTAGTAGTAGTAGTAGTAGTTGTGGCCGTCGCGGTACCAGTAGCATAAAGGTAGCGGTAGCAGTAACTGTTGCAGCAGCGGTAGCATTAGACGTAGGAGCCGGAGTGGGAGTGGGGGCAGGTGTAGGAGTAGTAGAAGTAGTAGTAGTAGTAGTTGTAGTAGTAGTAGTCGTAGTCGTAGTAGTGGTAGTGGTAGTAGTAGTAGTAGTAGTAGTAGTAGTAGTAGTAGTAGTAGTAGTAGTAGTAGTAGTCTTAGTAGTAGTAGTAGTAGTAGTAGTAGTAGTAGTAGTAGTAGTTGTAGTAGTAGTAATCGTGGTAGTAGTAGTAGTAGTAGTAGTGGTCGTAGGAGTGGTAGTGGTAGTAGAAGTAGAAGTAGTAGCCGTAGTAGGACTAGTCACTAGTAGCAGTCGTAGCGCTCGTAGCAGTAGTATTATTAGTATTGGTTGTTGTAGTAGTCGCAGTAGCAGGTATAGTAGTCGTAGAAGGAATCGTAGTAGTCGTAGTAGAACCCTGAGGAGCGGCACTTGCTATAACAACGGTGCTCGCTTAGAATAGTAGTATAGCTTAAAATAGCAGCGGTCGCTTAAATTATCGTTGTAGTCACAAAATAGTAACTAGCAGCAACAAAGCCTTGAACAATCATATCAAGTAATAGTGATTAGTCGTAGAAGTGATCGTAGCAGTAATAGTAGTTTAAACTAGCAATAACAATAACAATAGTAGTAATTTCAGTAATAACACTACTCCAATAATGATAAAAATAATTGTGGTAGTAACAGCAATGCCAGTATTCATAGTAATACTGATAGTACTAGTAGCGGCTGTACGGAACGCGTGAGGGGTGCACCAAAATTGTCGGCGAGGTCTCCGTGCGCTTGCGCTGCCTCGCCATTGCAGGGGGGATTTGTTGGTTGGCTGTTGCAATGCAGGCCTCGATCGGTTTGAGATCCCTTCGAGGAGAGAGGAGAGGGAGGAGGAGGAGGAGGAGGAGGAGGGGGAGAAGAGAGGAGGAGGAGGGGGAGGAGGAGGAGGAGGAGAAGGAGGAGGAGGAGAAGTTGGAAGAGGAGGAGAAGGAGGAGGAGCGTCGACGATCGTCGTGGTTGCCGCGGCCTTGCGCGGCTCAGGGCATCCTTGGCCCTCCTTCCAGCATTGGCTGGCCGACCTCAAACCCCAGAAAGCTCTACGCAAGCTCGCCAACCCCGCGCCCGCCACCGCCCCAAACCCGCCGAAGCCCAGAGGAAACGGCATCCACTCCACCCTTTTTGCGGCGCATGGCCCAGTAGGGCCAAGGTTATGTCGAGGGGCTTGTGATCGGTCGGCCGATGCGGATCTTCGCGAGCGCGTCGGGCCGAGAGGGCCGCCTCGAGGGAGAGGTTCGGCGATGCCGACGCTCTCCAGCAGGTTCTCCAGGGCTTCGTGACGAAGCCAGCCTGGCTGACATACGGAGACAAGCCTGGGTCGGACCGTTTCGACGCTAAGAGCATAGAGACCGTCCACGCCAACGCGGAACTCCTTCTCAAGTTGGAGGAGTTGTGTAGCAACCTCTCTTTCAACCAGGAGTGCGCGAAGAAGGCCTTCTTCGTGGTGGGCAAGGGCAAGTTCGGCATGCCCGATACGGCTCTCGACCACTGGGCGGAGCACAACGCCAAAATGCGACCCGCGCTTCTCTTTCGACGGAGAGGGGGTGAGGATGAGAAGGACGAGGAAGAGAATTAGTAGAAGTAGTAGTAGGAGGAGGAGGAGGAGGAGGAGGAAGAGGGGGAAAAGGAGGAGGAGGAGGAGGTGGCAGGACTTCAGGAGCGCTGACGTGGCCAGCGGTGCTCGGAGGGTTTGGTGGCGCTCAGCGGTCGACTGCTGAGCGCCGCCGACTCTCGCCGATTGCCGCTGGCCCCGTCGGCGCCATCGAAATCCAACTAAGTCAAATCCCAAACCAGGCTACGCAGCATGTGTCGGCACCTCTACGACCCGCTGCGAGGCGAGAGGAGCGGCAAGACGATTCCAGGATGGCTGGTCAAGCTGAGGGAGCTGCAGCAGCCAGGACGCCTGGAGCTCATCGCCCTCCCACGCGTCCCTCCTCCTCCTCCTCCTCATCCACCTCCTCCTTCCCCCATCTCGAGGTGCCAGAGATCGAGGTCGCTCGATCTTCGGCCCGCTCGAACATCGAGAATGTGACAATTCTCCATTGTTTCATTCTCGATCGTCGACCGCCTCCCCCAGGAGGCGCGGCGGCGAAGCGCCCTGGCAGCGCTAGCGGGAGCAGCGGCGGCGCGAGCGGCGGCGCGGAGATGCTTCTCACCGTCGACGTCGGCTACGACGCCGACAAGAAGGTGGGGCTGCGCTGGTACAAGGGGAAGAAGACGCCCGAGCCCACGACTGACATCTTCACGAAGCCAGGCGAGGTTTTCGCTTTTGGTCGCTGGGCGGACGGCTTCGAGCACGAGCTGGACACGCTGACGGCGGCGGCGTTCACTGGCGTGGAGGCATCCAAGCCGAAGAAGGAGAATGCTATCTCCTTGTTCAAGGGGACCCTGGGCAAAATCAGTGCGAAGGTCGAGAGAAAGCAGCTAGACGCGGGCAACCCTGGGGCGATCATCAAGTGCAAAGATGGCACTGACAAAAAGGAAAACAACGGCCAGAAGCTGCAGATCTCGTTCAAGAATTGCGGAGAGGCCGTGGGCATCGAGTGGATGAACAAGATGGCAGCCGACATCTGCAGCAGGAAGATTACCCTTGAGCAGGCGAAGGCCGCCAAGGAGCAGCTCGAGGCCGCGAGCGCGGTTCTGAAGAGGCCAGCGGCTGCGCCTACGACCGACGACGTGAAGAAGCGGCCAGCGGCGTTTGCGGACCCTGGCGCAGACGGAGGCAAGGAGGAAGACAGGGGCGCAGGCGGAGGCGAGGAGAAGGACAAGGGCGCAGGCGAGGGCGACCACGGCGACGAGGAGGACGAGGGAGGCGAGGAGGAAGAGAAAGAGGAAGACGAGGAGGAAGAGGCAGAGGAGGAGGCAGAGGAGGAGGAAGAGGATGAGGAAGAGGAGGCCGAGGGCGCTGAGGCGGAGGACGCGCCGCCGCCCACGAAGAGGCCAGCAGCCGTGACGGTCGGCAAGAGGCCGGCAGCCAACACTGGCAGCGAGGAGGAGGAGGAGGAGGAGGCGAAGAGGCCCAGAAGGAGGCGATGCCCTCCTCCTCCTCCTCCCCCTCCTCCTCCTCCTCCTCCTCCCTCCTCCTCCTCCTCCTCTCCTCCTCTCCTGATCCCCCCCTTCTTCTCTTCCTCCTCCTCCTCCTCCTCGTCCTCCTCCTCCTCCTCTTCCTCCTCCTCCTCCTCTTCCTCCCCCTCCTCCTCCTCCATCCGCCACCTCGCCCTCAGGCAGAGGAAGCCCGCCGCGGCGACTGACGCAGACTCGCCGTCCGAGGACGCGACCGCGCAGGCCGAGGCGGTGCCGCAGCTTGAGGGCCCGCCTGGCAGCGAGTCCATGCTGCGCGCCCCCTTTTCGTGATAATTAGGCTTCGGCGCTTGAAAAATAGCAGGGAATCGTTTTCAGGAGATTCGACCCCAGAGGAAAAACAGAAAACCGTTTTCAGGAGATTCGACCCCAGGAGATTCGACCCCAGAAGAAAACCACAGAGAGCGAATGTCGTTCTGGAAAGTTGGTCTGCAGGCCATCGGCTCTCCTTGCGTCCTTGCTTCTGGGGCTCCGTGGAGTCTTTGCGAACGAAGATGTTTGCGTCCTTGCGCTTGCTGTAAAAACTGTTACCCTCTGGGATCACCCCGCATTCGGAATTTAATGAATCCGTAGCCTCTGGGTCGAGGATCGAGGCTGGAATTTAATCCGCCAACCGCTCTGCTGAGCGGACTCCCCAGCGGCGTCCCATGTCGACGCAGGAGCCTCTGGAGGTTCCCGATTCGCCGCCCGCAGCCGGTTCCTGGGGCTTTCAAAACATCCGCCAGCTGAGAAATCAGCAAGAAAGCGTGTCGGCTCAGCGGTGATCAGCGGAGACCGCTGAGCACCGCTGAGGTCCGCTGAACTCCTCCCCCGAATCACCATCCTCAACGCCTCCATCCTTACTTTTTTCTCCTCCAGTAGGTTCGGTGCCTGCAGTCGCCGCGGCGCCTGCAGTCGCCGCGGCGCCGTCCGCGTCGCCCGAGGCGACGCTACCAGAGCAGGACTCCCCCTTCGATGCGCTGTCGAAGGCCATCGAGGATAAGAACGTGGAGATGGAGATGATCGAACAGGAAACGAAGAGCCTCATCAAGCTGAAGTGCGACATCGAGGCGGAGGTTGACAAGGCCAAGAAGGACCTCGCGGAGGCGCAGGAGGAAAAACGGCAGGCGTTGGCCGACATTCCCATGGCGCAGCGCGAGGCCATCAGGTCGAGGGTCGCAGCGAAGGAGAAGTTGGCCAAGGAGACTCAGAACCTGATCGATACGAAGGCGCAGCTGGAGAAGGATATCGAGGACCACCGTGCAAAGCTAGCCGAGGAGGAGGCAGAGACCGACGCTGCTTGGAACACGATCGAGAATTCCAGGCAGACGACGCTGACGTGGATCCAGGAGCAAGAGACAGCTGTCCAAAACTTAGAGGAGCGCAAAGCCAAGCTTGATGACGAGTGCGACGACCTGGACGCTGAGAAAAAGCAGCTCGAGCAGGAGAAAGACGACCTTATGAAGCAGATTGACGAGAAGCGAAACCCAACCCTGGGGAACCCACCTCAAGAGAAACTCGAGCTGGAGCAGGAGAACAGCAAGTTGGCGACTGATATTGCCGAGAAGAAAGAGACATTGAAGAAACTCCAGGAAGACATCAACCGCGCGGAGATCATGCTGGAGGAGCTCGAGGGGAAGCGCAAAGTGGCTCAGGAGGCGGTCGACGAGGTTTTGGCGAGCGCCCCCTTCAGCGGCAGGACCCCAGCAGACCTTGCTTTCAATGGCGGCAGAGGCGACACCCAGTCGTTGATGGGTGCTACGAGCGACGGCGGCAGCGTGCAGGGCAAGGCTGCTCCGCTGTCGGCGCTGGAGCAGGCGCGCGCGATGTTGAACATGCAGAGCGGGAGCATGAGGCAGAAGTTGACCGAGACTGGTGCTTCGAACGGTTCCGCCAGCTTCCCTCGCACTTCGAGCTCGTCGGGGGCGAGCGCGGTGCCAGGCGCGCCCAGTCCAGCGCAGCGCGACTCGCTTGCCGACCAGACGCCCGACAAGGTCAGCGAGGTTATGCAGAACCTGGCGCACATCACCGACGGCATCGACAAGAGCACGCTGGTGAAGCCAGCAGCAGAGGAGAAAGGCGTCGTGGAGTGGGCCAGTGCGACACCGCGCCATGAGCGCGGGGACATGGAGCTCAAAGCTTACCAGGACAGCAATTTCAAGAACCCGTTCGAGATGCGGTCGGCGCTCGGCAACCGCCTGTCGCGCCAGCTCCAGAACCCAACGACGGACAGTCAGAAGGAGTTTAAGAAGCGGTGGGACTTGGCGACCAACAAGGACGCTTTGAAAACGGAGTGGGCTGAGAAACAAATCCAAGGGTTGATCGAAGAGAAGAAGGTGACCACCAGGGAGACGGAGGATGAGCTCACCAGCCGAGGAAAGCCCGTCACCTTTCTTCGGATGTTGTACGAGGTAGGCGGCCCAGCGGGGCAGACGGACCCCGAGACGATCGCTGGGTGTTCGCTTGCATGTCAGCAATGCCTGGAGATGGGCTGGCCGTGCGTTCAGCTCGACGACAAGACGAACATCGTGAAGTACATGCACTTCGAGAACGAGTACAAGGAGGCTTTCAGGACGCGGTATTCCTTAATCAAGGAGCAGAGCGACAGGGCGCCCCCGACGGCGCCCAGCGTTGGCGGCGGCGGCGGAGACCTTCCGCGCCCAGATCCTCCGAAGCCCAGGCCGACGCCGCAACCGAAGCCTGAGAGCAGTCAAGCACTACAGACGGCATCCAAGCACGTCAAGGAAGTGAAGATGGTCCTCTCGTCCGCTCAGGCGATCTTGACGACCATCGACAATGAGACGGATTGGGCCTGGGCTAAAACGCCAGACGTGAGAGGTTCCATCAGTGCGTTGCTGGATAGTCTCAGCGCTGGCTTGAACAACAACAAGCTGGGCACCATGCTGATGCGAGGCATGGACAACGCGAAGGTGACCTCCTCCTCCTCCTCGCGCTCCTCCGTTCTCTCCTGCTCCCCCTGCGCCTCCTCCTCTTCCTCCTCCGGTTCCTTTTCCTCCTCCTCCTCCTCCTCCTCCTCCTCACCCTCCCCCCCCTGCTCCTCCTCCTTCCCCGCCCACCAACCTTCCCCTGCACCCTGGGCCTCGCTTTCTGCAGAGGAGGAGGCCGAGGAGAAGAGGATGAGGAGTTGGAGGGGGAGGCAGTGGAGGATGAGGGGGAGGAGGCAGAGAATAAGGTTGGAGGAGGACGAGGTGTCAGAGGAGGAGAAAGGGAGGAGGGCGCGGATGAGGAGGCTCGGGGCTTGGGGGGCTAGTGGGGGGGGGGGGCCCCACCCCGTCGCCGAGGTTTCCAAGTTGTTCGACTCCGCGGACATGATCACCCTCTCTGCGAACCTGCTGTCGACCACCAAGGACGCCTTCGAGGGGCGGGCGGTCCCTCCTCCTCCTCCTCCTCCTCCTTCTTCCCAGGAACATTTGACACCGCCAGATGGCAGGGCAAACTGGCCTTCCTCCTCCTCCTCCTCAACTTCCCCCCCCTCCTCCTCCCCCCCCCCCCCTCCTTCTCCTCTTCCTCCTCCTAGGTAAGGGGGGGGGTGGGGGGGGGGGGGCGGAGGAAGGGGGATTTTATTTCAGTGGGCCGCTGAAGTAACATCGACCTCCTCCTCCCCCTCCTCTCCAGCCGAGGGCATTTGGCGCCGCCACTGGCAGGGCAAACTGGGCCGTCCTCCCTCCTCCTCCTCCTCCTTCTCCTCTCTCCTCCTCCTCAACCAACCCACCCTCCTCCTCCTCCTCCTCCCCCCCCTCCTCCTCCTTCTCCTAGGAGGGAGGGGTGGGCGGGAGGTGGAGGATGTTTATTTTCAGGTGGCCGCGTGAGGAACATCGACCTCCTCCTCCTCCTCCTCCCCCCCCAGCCGAGGAGCATTTGACGCACGCCAGCTGGCCAGGGCAAACTGGCCCCTTTCCTCCTCCTCCTCCTCTCCTCCTCCTCAACAACCCCACCTCCTCCTCTTCCCCCTCCCTCCTCCTCCTCCTCCTCCTCCTCCTGGGAGGGAGGGGTGGGCGGGGGGGGGGGGATGTTACTTCAGTGGGCCGCTGAAGTAACATCGACCTCCTCCTCCTCCCCCTCCTCCCCCTCCTTCTTCCCCTTAGGACTTCAAGGAGAAACTCCAGACGAAGACCTCGCAGGTTTTGCAGAGCCACGAGGTGATGCATTCCACGGACGATTCGAAGCAGAAGGGGGCGAAGCGTACTCGAGGGGGGGGTGCCAGCGAGAGCAAGCGCGCCAGGCGCTAAGTGTGGAAGGTTTCGATCTTACACAATCGGCAGTCTGGGGACTGGCGGGCGCCCCCCTCTGAGATTTCGGGGCCAGGGCTGGCGCGTGGCAGGCGGTGCAGCGTGCGAGGCGTTCGCGGCCTGTGGGGTAGAGTTGCGGGCCTGCTGGGGGCGCCGAGCTGCGAGAAGTTCAGCTCGCAGCTTTTTTTCTCTGGAGAAAAAACGCATACTTCCAAGAAGGTCTCTGGGTCCCGGCGTGCCGGTGTGCCGGCGCCGACCGCTGAGCCTCGCTGAGCTCAGCGGAGGAAACCACATATATATAGCAAAAACATGATCAGCGATCCGCTGACTGACCGCTGAGGTCCGCTGAGGTCCCATTTTGTTGACATATCCTTACGCGTGTTTCTTGATATGTTGTTATGTTATACTGATTGTGAAGGTTCAAAACGACAGCTAATTGCTCAGATGAGAGTTCCCTCATGATCCATTCCCTTTGGCTGCGATCCTCCCGCTGATCCATCCATCCGATATCCCCATTCCCCGATCTCCCTTCCCCTGTCCCCGTCGGGCCGCGGCCCGCCGTCGTGGTCGGCCTCTGCGTTCATTCTTCATCTCGCCGTTGCCGAGGGCGAACTCCTCCGCGGAGACTTAAGGGAGGTTGAGATAAGGGGAAGGGGGGGAGGGGAGGAGGAGAGGATGAAGGGAGGAGGAGGGAAGAGGAGGGGTAGGAGGAAGAAGGAGGGAGGAGGAGGAGAATGAGGGAGGAAAGGCGGAGGAGAGGATGTTTATTCAGTGGCCGCTGAAGTAACATCCGCCTCTCTCCTCCTCCTCGCCCCCCTCCCCTCCCCCCTCCCGCCTCCTCCTCCCCCTCCCCCTCCGTCTCCTCCTCCTCCTCGTCCTCCTCCTCCTCCTCCTCCTCCTCGTCCTCCTATTCCCCCTCCTCCTCTGCCTTCTCCTCCTCCTCCTCTGCGAGTGGTAGATACTTTTGCATCTTTGCTCTCGCCACCGCGCTTATGCGCGTCGTCCAAGGTCATTGTGCCGATCCGATTGAACCGCCCCCTCCCCTTTCCCCGAGAACTCGCGCCCCCTTCCATTAGTGGCAGCAGCGGCTCGAGCTGCAGATATCAATGAATTAAGGTCGACTGCGACGGGGCGCGCCATGCAGTCCAAGCGCAGGCGGACGCGGCCTTTCCCAGAGACTGAGGAGGCGCGCGCGGCGAGGCAGCTGGAGGCCGACTGGCTCCTTAGGGGAAGCTTGGAGGTGCAGGAAGGCTCTTACTCTTGACTTTGGAAAAACACATGGATTTTACACCGCGCTGCCAAGTCAAGAGCAAGAGCCGAATTGAGCCAAGGTAACCCCAAAATGGCCACAAGATGGCCCAAGATGGCCCGAGATGGCCCGCATATTGTCCAAGATGACTCCTTAGGGGTAGCTCGGAGGTGCAAAACGACCCTTGCTTTTGACTTTGGAAAACCATTGGTTTTACACCATTCTGACAAGTCAAGAGAGCCCTCTCGGGCCCAACTCGGGGCCCAAGTAAGCCCCAAGAGGGCACCAAGAGGGGCCCAATAGGGCCCCAAGTGGCGCCCAAGTGGGGCCCGAGAGGGCACCAAGAGGGCCCCGGCATCGGCCACGCGAAAGAGCTCTCGCGTGACCGATGTTGGGCCCTTCCTTCGGCCCTCTCGGGCCCCACTTAGGGCCCTCTTGGGCCCCTCTAGGGGCCCCAAGAGGAGCCCCGCGGAGGCTGCAACACATGCCCCAGGAGGAGGAGGGGGGTGAGGAGGAGGAGGAGGAGGAGGAGGAGGAGGAGGAGGAGGAGGAAGGCTGCTAGGAGGGGGGGGGAGGGGGGACGAGGTTGAGGAGGGGCATGGGGAGGAGACTGAGCAGGCTGGCGACCGCTTGGAGCGGGAAGTCTTGCACTTGTTCGGGACAGGCCAGATGACCGCCAAATCGCTCTGCGAGGTGGCTCATCTTGCTGCGGAAGCTGGAGCGTCTGGGAACATTGGCGATTGGGGTGTAGCGCCAGACAGGCCCTCCACTGGGCAGTGCCAACGCCACGTCCAGAGTGTCGCCAATGCTCGCGGCATACAAAAGGTGGAGCCTATGGTGTGCGCGGTACCTGGTCAAACTCGGTCATCAAAACGCAGAGTTGAAATGGCGGTGAGCACGCGCCCGTTCCACGAACTTCTTCACGAAGAGGTTTTTGCGGATGCATCATCTCTAGAACTGATGAAATCTATGATGGCCGATCGGTCTTGGCCCACGTGTTATCATGACCACGCTGTAACCCGATCGGCCAATGATGATGAGTTCGTTATCCCTGTTGGAATATTCGTGGACGCCGTGAGGTACGGTGGTGCATCTGCTGCTGGCCGTGCACGTTCGTTTATCGTTTTCTCGCTTATCAACATGATTAGCGGGGCCCGTCATATGGGGCTCATATTCCGTCAGCAGTGTTGTTGCAAATGTGGGTGTCGTGGCCAATGTTCTTATTCTTTGCTGTTTAGGTACCTCGCGTGGAGCATTCGGTCGTTGGCTTTAGGCGTGTATCCTCGAGAATGTCCAAAAGGCAATGTGCTCGAAGGATCTCGCGGTGAGGCAGCTGGTCGGCCCTTGGGCTTCAAGGCTGCCGTGAGCTGGTTGTTGGCAGATTGGGAGGCGGTCACATCCATGTACGGGACTCCGACTTGGGCGAACAAGTTGCACCCGTGCCCTGTCTGCACGGCGAGCGCAGACACCATGCATCTTTACGAGTACTAGGGGATTGCAATAGAGGAAAATGCAGGAGGATTGAGGGAGGAGGAGGAGGCATAGACAGAAGGGAAATGTGAGGGATGACCTTGAGGATAGAAGACGGAGACAAAACATGAAAAGAAGGTCCTTGTCTTCGATCGTCGAGGCCGACGAGGCGTCCTGCGGGCCAGGGCGCCTCCTCATCCTTATCGATCTGCCCCCCCCCTCGAGCTTTCGAGGGTTTTCTGGGATAACTCAAGGCGCTTCCAGGGCGGCCACCAGAGAGCTCCATGGAGGGCCTTGAGAGGCCCAAGGGTGGGGCGCAAACGGTCAACAGTCAGCTGGTTGTAATTATGGGTGCTCTACTAGAGACGTCTTCGGGAACTCCTGGATACCTAGAGGATGTCCTGGAGGCAATCGAACGAAGTCCAGGGCGACCTCAGAGGCTCCCTTGATCACCTCAAGAGGCAGAAGAGGGTAACAAAATGCCTGATGAACCAGTTGTTGGAGCGCTCATTGCGCCTGCTTGAGGCCTTCGAATGCGATCTGCAAGCGCTCGGGTGACCTCGAAGGGTGCCCCTGAAGGGCCTTGGAGGGCCCAAGACTGAAACAGTATGCTTCGGTCTGTCCAGGTATTTTAAAAAAACGGAATCTGTCGCACCGTGGCCCTGGGCAGCGAATATCTTTGGAAGCCGGTTGAGCGGCTCAGCGGTGCTCAGCGGTGCTCAGCGGTGGCCGCTGAGCACCGCTGATCACCGCTGATGCCTATCGAGGTCTACATGCCCAGACCCTCTTCCCGCGAACATTTTTCCACCTTCCTCGTTTACTCTCTGACAAGTGAACTTCCTCTTCCTCATCTTTCTCCTCCTTCCTCCCGCCCACCTTCTCGACGTGTTACTGCGTTTCCTCAGGCGGCTGCGCTCTCTGCACGTGCCCTGGGCAGATCATTCAGAGGACGCCCACGAGGCCGCAACTGCTGCGTGCGAAGTGCGAATCCTATTTCGCACGGATGCTGAACGAGCCGACTTGATTAAGAGGGCTGGGCTATACTTCAACACAATCTTGAAAGGCAAGACATTCAGAGCTGGGCGGGGTCTCACCGTATTTCGGGACGTGCACCCAATAAACCACATGAGTGCAGCGCTGAAGAAATTCGACCGTCTTCCACCCCAGGATGCATTGCTGGATATCGCAAACTATTGCATTGTTCCAACTCCGACATGGCTCATATTCTGGAGGCCAATGAATGAAACGATTGCAACGCATCGGGATCCTGTAATGGGGGGCCCGCTGACTGGAATATCAATGCGCACATACTCTACAGACTACTTGCACACAGTTGCCCTCGGAGTTATGCAAAGTGTAGTGGTTGCTGTAGTTTGGGCGCTCATCATGTCAAGCGTTTTCGTTTCTGATGGCACCG